AAAAGCACCCGAAAAAAGTTCAAATATTGCCGAAGACCTTCGAACTCAATACCCGCCAAAAAATCAATTAGTGCCTGGCCCCGGTGGATTTCGATAGCTCAGTGCGAGGCAAGCCAGTTCAATTCCTACCACTAGCCTGGTCTAAGGGCGATATCTGATCCTGGATCGAAAAAAGGTCGTACCCTGGTCCGCATAAACGGATCTACGAAAACCGGAAGGCCCAACTCTGCGCCCGGTATTGGCACTATGCTAAATGACAAAACAAGCACGAGGTCAGCTCTCGCTTTCCGAACTGGACTGTCAAAAATCAAGGGAAACAATTCCCAAACTGGTCCCCGGCCCCGACTAAAATTCCTAATCGCCTTTCCAAACCACGTGGGTGGGTACTCTCCTCCGAAGTTCACAGTTGAAGAGAATCAACGTTTTCAGAAGATCAAATCCCATAACTGAATTCTGCTCGATTATGTGCAATGCACTAATTATTCCAGCCCTCTTTGTCCGTTTACATAAGTAGGAATTAAAATGCTGGAAGGTTCGAAAGGGCAATACAGTCCCCTTCCGTAATTTTGGTCGTTCTTCAAAATCTGAACGGACCCCAGGAATGGAAGTTCCTTCCGAATTGACAACCTGCATCCGAGAAAATTCGACCCGTCTTCTTCTTCGTTGGTTTGTTTCAGAGTTAAAGCCTCATCATAGCAACCCTTCAATCTTTCCAACAATGTTTCCGCTCTCTCCTTATCACCATTCCTGTGCGGACTGTAAACAGCGAATACTGATACATCATCGACAAAACGCAATCCCGCAAACAATCTCCTTTGTCCTCCCAGTGAGATCATGAAATCCCACTCGCTCTTTTGCACACATCAAGCATGCCAACGGGGGGCTAGAGCTTTTTACCATTGGTATCCCGACTACTTGCTGAATCAAAATCCCACAAGCTTGAGTGAAACAAAATACCTGTTCAAAATTTACGAAAGAGATCAAATATTCAAAGGGCACGAACGTGTAGCCTTCGAGATATCGACTCTTACTCAACCGAGCACCCTTCCCTCTCCGTTTTACAAACACCCCCTCATACCCTTTCTGTGACAACCACCAAACGATCCATTCGACAGTCGTGCTAATGGTCCTATGCAATAGCCTACTAAACATATCCTTGATATCAAATTAAGCACCGATAATTCTTGCATTCTGTCTACTCTTGGCAAAACGTCCGTGAATCTTGCGCAACCTTTCCTTCATCGCTGATACTGATTTAAAATTGAAATGAGTGGACTCAGGCAAAGTGAAAAGGGGACAGTTGATACCTTTTGCTACGACTTTACATGTCTTAACTGAGGGTTCCACGAAGGTAGGGCAAATTGGGCGGTATCTCTCAGTATCCTTGTGCTTTGGCAGAGCGTAAGCGCACCCAATACTACCCTTCCCATCCCATTTTTCCTGCCTGGACAAACCCGGTTTCTCATATTCGAATTTTGCCGCCACAAGCAGAATCTCCTCCTTATCCGCAAAAACCCTGTATCCATCGCTCAGCGGAAAGGTAGTCCATTCCCTTTCCATACAACAACGGACTTAAAACAAGAGTGTCCACTGAGTTTTCGGTCCAAGGGAGCCAACACCAGGCCCTGCAACTTGTCCCGTAAAGTCAGAACCGAGTCAAGACCATTGTCAGCCCGGTGCGTCAAGTTGGTTACGAAACAACCTATGATCTCTTCGGCTGAAAAGGTGTGTTCGCCCTTCGCGAGCTTTGATGAAACTCCCCACGTTCGAAAGGCGTCTGACAACTCGGTGACAACCCGGGTCTCCCTTTGACTGTCTTCACCTCTAGGTACGTTCTTCGAGTTAAGAGCAATGGATGGCATGCCCTCGTATTCGCTAATTCGGAAATGCACGTGCCCGTCCCTCTTGGGATAGGGCATCCCAACACAGTGACAGCTGGTAGCAGGAACCGACGCAAACTGTCGGTGATTGTGTAGGATGTCGCCAACATTGGGGCATCTCTTCCACACAACGCGTGCCCTACGCTTTACCATCTCCTTTATAGCCGAATCGATGTGCATGCTACCCACCCTTCTCCTAACTACGCGCATAATCTCACTTTTTTTAATGCCTTTATGGTACTGTGCTTTTACAATGATTCTAGATCTTACGTTCACTCCGTGAGCATCTCGAATTGCTCTAGAAATCATCAGTTTGGCCTTGGTTCTACTCCGTTTCGTGTTAAACGTCTTAACTGCACTATAGTATCTGACTAACTCCTCCAGTCTTTTCTTCCCAAGATTCCTTTGTAGCCGTGGATTTTTGAACATTCGAACCAGATCATCACGAAGAGCCAAGGTCGCAGGTGAAGCCTCCGTTACGAGTCAAAGAGTAATACTCCCTGCTGTTTCGAGAATACTTTTACAATGTCGGAGTAATCTTGTCCTCCTCGCATGCTTGACCCGTATTTCCCCGACTCGCCAACCCTCAGCCCATGTATTCCCTCCATTGCAGTGATTAACTATATCCCCTTTCTTCCTAACTAGGCTCCGTAGGACATCTATGACTCTCACTGTGCCTTCCGGTGTACCGTCAACTCGAATCTCAACCAGTGTACCGGTGTCTCTTCGATAATCCGTCTTTCTACCACTGCTCCCTTCTGACCATCTGGTCCGTTCTCGCTTTTCAGGTCTACGTTTAGTCTTTTTCGGCGCTTTCTTGGTTTTTTGATGGATCGGACGTTAAACCACAGGTCCCCCTCACGAAAAAAACCTTGGGGAGCCGGTAGCGCCGTTTCGCGATGGCTACCGGTAGTACAGTGTGGAAAATCGGGTGGGCCTCCTTACGAAATTCGCAAAAAATAAAATGAAATAAATCGAATCGGCGCGGCAAATATTTCACCATTAAAATAATTTTATTTATTTATTCTGATATATTTCCCTGAAAGATCACGACCTAATCTACGCACCTTCAAATTTTCAGACAATTTGGTAAATTACTCTGAGCACGAAAAATCAGTAAAGTTGCCGCGTGCAAAATGGCGGGATTTGGACCCCTCGGCCTCCGCACAACCCGACACCTGAGTACGGTCGCCGCCCCTCCGTACAACCCGGCCCTAACTCACAGGGACTAGGGGTTTTCGGTGTCGGGGGGAACTATGGTTTGAGAGATGGCGATCAATGTCGAATTAGTGCCTGCTCAACTGCCTCAACTCCGTTCGATCGTTACTGATGAAGATCGGAAGAGCCACATACCGATGCACGCCGACTTTGCCCAACCAATTATAGATTAGCCTTCTACTTTTCCCACCCTTCGTATTTCCTAGCCTGCAGAGCTCGCTCCATCTAGTCGAGAATTCCCTCTCTGTCATACCAATGTACACCTGCTTATGCCACGGAGATATGAGGACATAGACGCAGCTTCTGGGTTCGGCAAGTTCGAAATTCCCTTTATCGACCTCATCCTGCCAGTACCTTACGAACTTGTCACCCCATCTGATTTTCCTCGTCAACACTAAAGCTACCGTTGAAGCCCGAAACAATTTCTCATCGTTCTTACACTTTCCACCGCTTACCCGTCTTCGCTCGCTCAAACGCTTAGCCAGAGCCAAGTAGTCGTCGCAATAACCGACTTCTCACTCCGATTCCTCATCCGAAAATGATGTCTCGGAGAGAGAAGGATCGGCCTTAACCTCCTCTTGATCCCCTTTGATTGCCACTTCTTTGGTACCCCTGGTATTCATACGCGGTGTGCCCTGCAGAGGGATCACGGAGGGATCGTATGCCACAGCGATCCGACGAGTGATAGGTCTCTTGATCGCTAGTTCCTTATTCCCATACGCAACCTTCTCCCTTCTGCATGCTTCCTTCAGTTGTTCGATGGTCAGAGCATCGTAGAAGTCCAGACACTCTTGCTCATATCTCTCCTTCCCTCCTGGTCCACAGGATGCCGCGATGTGCTTTAAAGATAAATCTATCTTAGTCGGTGTGCTCGTTGTCCCGACATCGCCGCTTTTCTCCCCCCGGAGTTGCTCAATTCGAGCTCGTAATTCTTCCGACAGTTTCGTCGCCGGCTTCTTCTCCGGCGTTACCATGGGCGGGCTGTTCCCCACTGGCACTTCCGGTCCCCGTTTCCTTTTCTCCGCCTGCCCCAACTTGATCGCCAACATTCGCAACGTTAGAAGCTCTTCGTCCTCCGCTTCGTCGGCAGTTCCGATGGTGCGCGAAGCTATCAGCCGTCGCAGCCGTTCTTTCTCGTCGTGCACAGCCTCGGAGGACGTACTGCTTCTTATCGCCCCCTTCCCTTTCTTCTCGTACCTTTCCCGCTCCTCCTCCCTATCTTTGCGCATTTCACTGTGCACAATACAAAGAAGTCTAGCATCACGTTCTTCCTCCAATCGTATTCGTTCCTCTTGTCGTAGTATCCTCCGGTTTTCCCGATTTCTCTTGGCTCCTTCCTCGAGACGTCTGCGTTCTTCTTCCGCTTCTCTTTCAATCCGAAGTTTTCTTTCTTCCGCCATTTGTAACAGATATTCCCTCATCAGTGCATTGGTATCATGGATAGTGCTACTCCGATCGCCTCCGCTTTCAGCTGATCTGCTCCTCCGTGAGAGTGAATCCATATTCCCCGTCATCGCTGGTCTCCCTGTTCGGCCTGGTGCTGTCGCCTGCACAGATGGAACAAAAGTTCGGCCAAGCACTTTGGCTTTCCAGTACTCGGCACAATCCCTGATGAAATGGCCACCTTCGCCGCACTTGTAGCACTTGCGATTGTCAGGTGGCAATGACACGGCGCCCTCCATGTTGCCCGAGATATCCTCCCCACTCATAGGTAGTCTTGCAAAGAGAAACTGCCCACTCACGCCAAGTCAATCTAAGAGTCAAGTTGCCTGTTGCCAGCAATCCTCGTCAGGACACAGATCGCTAGACAATGGTCACCAAACATAGGTCGCCAAATGTAGCCGCCACCTCCACTAGGTACAATCTCCTAGTTGGTTACGACCTTGAGTCGTAGGATTCAAGGAACTGCACGCAAAGCAGTCAACAGCACACAGGGGCAACAGCCCAACACGCTGCATAGTTCATCAGAGCATCATCCTTATTAAAAAACAACGCACGTTAACACGTGGCTGTTAACGGTGGTCGCGTGAAGCACAAAAGATGGAAATGATGAAAGCACGATCCCCTCCTCCAGCCACAAACCCCGCTAGCAGTTGCCAGCATCCCCCGCAGTTCCCCTTCTGATCGTGCCAATCGCCTTCCGGCGCAGGAGGATGAACTCACTATCGTCCTACCAATTTATCCTACTCTTAGCTACGTATTCCATCGTTCCGAAAAACACCGGTAAACATGTGAGGGCTGAGGCGTCCTTCATCCTGCCGTTCCTCCTAATAATCCCTCCAAACTCGACCAGATACAGCACGCCAAACACGAAAACGGGTCCTGATACGGTAATCCCGCGAAAAGCACCCGAAAAAAGTTCAAATATTGCCGAAGACCTTCGAACTCAATACCCGCCAAAAAATCAATTAGTGCCTGGCCCCGGTGGATTTCGAT